CTCCAAAATGGCTTTGTTAACCAGTTATCCGTAATTTTGTTTATTCTCATAAAAATTTGTATCTTTGAAAATCTTGAAACGATCATTATGAAACTTGGTTTGTATGTTGGAGTAAAACAGACCCACGTTAGAAAAAAATTATCTTAATTGAATTACAAATTTCAAAATGGCGGCCATTTATAAAAGTTGAAATTGATAAAATTGGCTAACTTTATGAAACAATGTCTAGAACACTTTTCTTTAGCATTTAAAATTTCCTATCATACGGGATAGCGGAAGGCGACGCAAGGTAAGGGGAAGGTCGGGTAAGGGTCTGGAAGACGACGGGGGATAGCGGAAGGCAAAGCAAGGTCGGGTAAGGGTCTGGAAGACGACGTAGGGTAGCGGAAGGTGACGTTAGGGAAAGGGAAGGTCGGGGAAGGCTCTATAGGGTGACGTAGGATAGCGGAAGGCGACGTAAGGTAAAGGGATGGTCTTATAAGGGCTTGGAATATCGACGTAGGGTAGCGGAAGGCGACGTAATGGAAGGGGATGGTCGGGGAAGGTTCTATAGGGCGACGTAGGGTAGCGGAAGGCGACGTAATGGAAGGGGATGGTCGGGGAAGGTTCTATAGGGCGACGTAGGATAGCGGAAGGTGGCGCAAGGTAAGGGGAGTCGAGGGGACTGAGGGACAAATTTAATAAAACAATTGGGGAAAACAGACAGGTGTAATTCGGGCACGTTACAGCCCCCCTCTTTCTTCGGGAGAAAAAAAAGAAAAGAGAAAAAGAAAAAAACGGGGTTTTTTCAACGAACACAAATTTTACTTAATTTAACAATATAAAAACAACATAAAAAATCTTTTCCAACAAAACAATAATACTGTTTAACCTCTTGTTAACATTGGTAACAAAACATTGTTTAAATCAACACATGAGTATTCAAACTTTTTAATGAGAAAAATAAAATAAAATATCACGAAACTATCACAGAAAAATATAAAAAAACAACTTAAATCTACCATAATAACTTTTATTCATTTTTCCGCCAAAGTGGCAATGTCCAGGCCAGGATAGTAGGAGTCGAAATTTTCAATTTTCCTTTTGTTTAGTCTCACATAGGTTCCGTCCGGAAGAAAAACTCTTTTCCTCTTCGTATTTGCTCCTCTTCTTTTGTGTGCCGGTCGTTGCAGCTTGAGTTGGGGGTGTTCCATTTGTGTAGTCGCAGAGTGTTTGGTGGTGGCTTCCATCGGTTGTTCGTTCGTATCCGACGTGCTTCCAAGTGACTGAGGCATTTCTGTATCTTCCTTCTTCAAAGGGCTAAGCTTCATTTTAGCCAGACTATCAAGGACGGAATTTTGCTTAGGGGAATGTGGGAATGGACTGACTACCGTTTTCCCGGAGTCTATAAACTCTCTTAACTCTCCTAATAACGGGTCAGGGGCCTCAGCAGATTCCCTTTCTTGAGGGCTCAAAACGATCTCCAAAAAGTCCTGGGGTTGTATAAACTTTATCTTCTCTTGATGGGTTAGGTAGTACCCCTCCCGGTTGCTTTTTATCTCTTTTCCTGGAGAAATCATTCTAGAATTTGTAGTTTTGTTAACACTTACTTGGTTCGGAGCTTTCTTTGGCTGTGGTTTCCCTGTCAGTTTCCGGGTCGCAATTTTACTGGCTAAGACAGAAGGTTTCTTATCGGAGTTTTTATTCTTCGGGTCCAAAGGTTGAGACGACCACTTCAGTCTTCTTTCGATGTGTTTTCTCATTTCATCCGATGTCATTCCTCGTAAGGTAGTTAGTGGTCTCTCATGGGTTAGTACATCGGCAAACATGCAAATGTATACCCCGCAGTCACTATCATTGCTCTGTTGTGGGCAGACTTTGAGCATGTTCAATGTGGAAAACTCTTTGCCTAATTTCTTTCTGCGGCTTGCGCTTTTCTTATGAAAGTTATCTTTTACTTGTTCCATTCGTGCGGTGTGCTCCATGCCCAGGCTATCAAACGACGTGATGTCGCATTTTTTTGGTCTGGCGACAATCAGGGCCAAATGTCCTATAGTAGCCGGTGGTTGGGGCGGCATGAACAAGGGAAATAGGACAAAATCTTTGTCCAGGGGATTACCTTTTGCCCACCGTTTTACCCCCTCGTATCCGCTGTTGTTAGATTTGATCTCCTTATGGCCCGTGATCTTGAGGGCACGATCCAGATTCCGTGGTAAATCAATAGCAAACGGGCGCAACTCAACGAGCGCTCTTGTGACTCGGGATATGTACTCATCGCAACACATGTTTGAATAATATATTCCAAGAGCTCGATTTTGCACATCCTCAATACATGAGTCAGGACGTTCTGGATACAGGAAGGAAGCAAGCCAGTCAGACCTCTCCTTAAATGGTATGCCATGATTGATCTGGAAACCGAGGAACTTTATTTCATTAACATCTCGGCTCTTGCTAGATTTTCTAAAATTCAGATTCATTCCAAACACTTTGTTGATAAGTTTACCAACTTCAAAAACATCAAGATCATATGGACTTCTAATGAGAGAGTCATCTCCCATATAAACAGCGTCAGGGATGTAGTCATTGGTTAAGCTTAGATGACAGTACTCCAAAATGATCGCGTTACAGATTGAGCCAATCATTTGGGTAAAGTAACTTCCAGACGCTAAGCCCAACGTTTTTCGGAACCTTAATCCGGTGGCTAATCTTATGTTAGTATTTACACAATAATCTCGAATTCTATCATACATATGAATCATTGCACGGGCTTGAGCAGTTCCATAATCTTGATAGGATGTGAACTCAATGTTCAGAGCAAGGATGTCGAACGCTCGATGAATCAACCATCCAGGTACAGACTTGTCAAATTTTGAAAAATCAAAGCCATACTTAAAATCATTACCGGAGAATCTTTTCCGCAATCTCATAAACCCTCCACTAGCGGGTTCGTAACCATAGGTGATTGGTCCTCTAAGATTATACGCCTCAATCAGTGGTAATGCAAAAACTGATCACCGAAAGTAACGGTGGCAGGGTACCCCCATACTGCTCGGACCTTAAACTCATCAGGATCGCAGATATGGCTGCGAACATAAGCACAACTATCTGTGAAAGGAATATCATGTCCACTTTTCACCAGAAGCCAGAAGAGTCGGACTCTTCCAATAGCACTTGGATCATTCTTGATGTCACCCTTTGTACGGTAACCCATGTCCTTCCAAGGTAGACCAGGAGATTTGTTCCAGATCTCGAGATCATCACGACGGAACACATCATTCAAATGCAACATTTTTACAGGTTTTGGTTGGGAGAAAATAATAGATTGGTGATTTTGAAATGTCCTATCATACAACACCGAGTTCAACAAGATTGGATAAAAAAATAACTGAATATCACGAGTTTTAGATGTAAAATGATTAAAAATTGACTAGCTTAGCCTTGTTCAACTTCATTTTACCACTAAAATTAGTGATATTTCAGTTAACTTATTTTTCAAAAGATCTTTAAAATTTTAAATACTACATAAAACTGATCTAGACACTTTTTTCATAAATTAGACACTTTTATAGTAATTTCAGTTTAAAATATTAAAATAGCATCCATTTTGAACTTTTTCATTGGATTAAGATAAATCTTTTTCCTAATACTGTTTTATTCAGCATACATAAAAAATTTCATAATTATTGGTTAAAAATTCTAAATATTAAATATTAATGTGAAAAAAATGAAATGGCGCATATCTGCAATTTAATTTCATTTTGCCTTCGTCGTTAACAAAGTAATTTTGAAAAAAAAATTTATTCTTGATTTTATCTTTATTTTGACCCAGAAAACAATTTCCCGGGGAAACATTTATGCTCTTACATACGAGACACCCTGTATAGACCAGCTGTAGCCAGTGAAAAATTAGTTGAAAGAGAACCTCACTGAGTGCGTACAGCCAAAAATTTAATTTCATCCTGTATTTCTATTACTTTTCTATGGTTTAAGTTTAATATGAGTCATCCTGACAGTAAAGCTAGGGCTAACAGCTGCACAGAAAATAGTTATTTACATCACTGCACTACGTAGGTGTTTCTATTAAACTACGATCATTTTGATAAATAAACCTTCTACAAATCATAGAATGTCTAGTTCTTTTAAAAGTAATTTTTTTTTTTTACAAAGACTACAATGAGTAGTAAACTGAACTATTTATATGCTATTCCATAGAAGGAATTTATTATTTTACTTTAGAATACTGAGAACATGCATGCATGGACTACTGTAATTAGTTTGAACTAAAATATATTATGGCAAGGATTTGTCTATTTACAATTTCTCTGGAATTTAACTAGTTAAATAAAACTAGTCCTTGGATTTGGTTACTTCGCTTATAGGATATTTACACCACAACATTGTTCCAATAACATATGTGTGTAAGGACTTATGATTGGAGCATCTCTTCTACGTTTTGTGATTTCAATATAACGATATTTTCCCTAATGTTTCCTACTTGGAATGATCCGTCAAGAGCTCTAAAGGTCACTTGGCAAACGTTCAACAGGAATCTTTCCCCTACATTTGTAGATACCTCCTTCGTATATTACCTAAAATTATAAGTGATAATAGTTCAGGATCTTTTTCCATGTTGGTAAATTGTAAAAAATACGAACAAAGTTGAATGTGTTAAACATTAAACTTTGTTAATAACTTTGTCATTAACTTTGTTTTCGTAATTTTTACAAATTACCGATTGCATTTTAAACCAATAGTATTCCCGACATGTAAGTAGGTAATGAGTCCTCATTTCAAACATGCAATTTTATTTCATGTTCAGTGTATTTAATATTACGAAAGTAATGTACTTTAAAAATCACACCTTTATATAAGATTTAAGTTCAACCCATGGTGAAACACATAGTCTTCTAAAGGTTTTTGCATGCTGAATTCTTGGCAAATAATAATTGCAGAAAAAGATATGTTTTTTCGTCAAATTATAAAAATAACCGATACATCATAATATTTAATCGTATGATTAACTAAATTGTAGTTGTACTGGATCTACATCTTGAAATACTATAATCTTTCGGAAGTGTGACATTGTAGAATGCTAATGTAGCATCTAAAAATGTTCTTAGATTCTCATCATGATCCTTTTGATCCTTTCCACATACGGTCAAATCATCCAGATAGGCATACACTCCATTCAGTTTTTCTTTTCTAATGATTTGGTCCATGGTCTTTTGAAAACATGCCACCCCGTTGGTTACGCCAAATGGGATTCTTCTGAATTGAAAAAGACGACCAGCAGCCTCAAAAGCAGTGTACTTCTTCTCTTCGTCAGAAATTGGTATTTGATAGTATGCTTGCTTTAGATCAATGGCACTAAAAACCTTGTTCGTCGCTACAGTGGATACTAGATCATCTATGTTTGGTAAGGGATAGGCGTCTAACAGAGTAAATTTGTTTATCGTTTGCGAATAGTCCACACACAGTCGCTTCTTCCCTTTGTCGTTTGTAACAACCAACACTTGTGCACGCCAAGGTGACGAACTAGGTTCAATGATCTCCTCAGTCTGTAGTCTTTCCATTTCTTGTTTTATAAATTGCACATCTTCATCTGAGTAACGTCGCGATTTTGTGGCTATTGGCTTACAATCTGGAGTTAAATTGCAGAATAGTTTGGGTGGTTCAACTTTGGCACAGGAGCACACCAACAGAGGAGGTTTCTTACCTCCAAACCAACCCTGTATATTTGAGTGGAGTTTCGTGATATCATGTCCGATAAGCACGTCAGTACAAAGATCTTCAAGAACAGTCAACTTAAAATTGTTGTAATTGTGATTCAACAGATTTAGGTTGATTTTAACAAACCCGTGGACGTTTGATTTCATATTAGAAGCAGCTAGTGATACTTGTCCACTTTCATTATACATTTTAATTTTGTTTAACTGAACAAACTTCAAGTTTACAAAGCTTGATGTACTCCCGGTGTCTATTAAGCAATTTGCTTTCAGGCCATTCACTTTAGCTTCAACTGTAGAGTCCTTCAATACAGATGTATTATGTGTAGTTGCTATTAGTGCAGCTGATGTACTAGACGTCTTCTGTTTTACTTTAAAATGTTGAGTTGGATTACTTTTACAGACTCTCGCATAATGCCCTGTCTTGTTACATTTCCCACAAGTTGCTTCTCTAGCTGGACAGCAATCTCTAGAGTGTCTATCATGCCCACAAAAATAACACTTGCCATCAACATTTTTAATAGCGGAAACAGTAGCTTCTTCCTTTTGTTGTAGTGGGAATTCGTACTGACAAGCTTGCTTTGCCAATTCATTCGTTGCACAAGTTTGCATTCCGTACATAGATTTTGGATAGCTCTCGACTTGAGCTTGAGCCATTTCAAAAGCTCTAGACTGTTCCACTGCTTCAGCTAGGTCTAAAGTTTTATTTTCAAATAGTCTCTGTCGTATGTATGACGAGGCTAAGCCATTGATAAAAGCATCACGAATGTAATGATCCCTGTATTGAATCGCATTAACAGCTTCAAAAACGCAATCTTGGCTCAAAAGTTTCAGTTCCGACACATATTTGTCAATAGTCTCACCTTGTTGCTGTTTTCTAGTCATTACTAAATATCTTGAGAATATTTCATTCTTTTGTTTGATGTAAATTGAGTTAAGAACTCTCAAAGCGTCTTGGTAAGTTTCAGATTCCTTGATAAATTTATAAGTAGTAAAAGATAATCGATTAGTTAGTAGTTTCAGTTTGTCCTTGTCTTCAACGAATTCTGTCATGGTTAGAAAGTCTTCGAATGTTTGTAACCAGTGCGTCCATTCCTCTGAGGCAGTTGGAGATTCCGGGTCAATTTGCAATTTGTCTGGTCTAAGGAATTTCTCCATTGTAATGTAGCACTAACTGAGTTTATCAATGAATGAATAAAATTGTTGTAAGAAAGACTTAGTAAACCAAAAGTATGGCTTTTATTCATTCAAAATTACAACCATGTTTTAGTTAAGAACAAATACAATATTTACAAACAAATCAAATAATAAATATTATCAGGTGATAATGTTCACATCACCACATGTTATTCGTAGAGAAGTAAGCTGTAAATGGCTCCGTGTCACAATTCAATCAACATCTTTAAACAAGCGTGACTTGGACTCTGATCACAAGATTTGAAGCTTAGACACTGACTTGAAAACTAAACAGGCGCTTTTTCCCGCTTGTTAGACATATTAAAATGTTACAATAAATAGAAAAATATAATTAAATGTAAAATGTAATAAATGTAATATATATTTTAGATGAAAAATTTGTACACTTTCTTTGATATGTGAAAAACACGTTAGCAAGTAATTTTCTTTTTGATCGGAGTCACAATAAAAGAGGAAGTATTTATCTCATGTCAAAACAATGTCATTTAATTATTTCCTGAAGACTAAATTAGTTTCTTTGCAGCACCTGTTTCTCTTCCCCGGAGATTGTAATTAACTAAGCTAACTAATTGGATGAATAACATAGAAACCTGTTCCATTCATCCAATCGATTTTAATAAAGCAATGTGTAGCGATTATGTTTATGAAATTTATGTTAACAGCAAAGGTGTGGTTTAAAAAATAAGTTTATATAAAACGTAAGCAGAAAACAAATAGTTTTTAAACTTTAGATGCAACTAACACTCTATTAATAATAGTTAACAAATGTTTCAAGTTAGTCCAGGATAAACAATTATATCATAGCCAGTAAGTTAATGGTATAGTTCTTGATGTTGTAATAGTAGCAATGATTTTAAGTTAATCTTGTTAGCATAAAAACTGTTTTAACGTACTTTATTTAGTAATTCTGTCGTCATTGCGTTGGCGAAAGGTTCAAACGAAGACAGAGTTGATTACATTCGTTACTCATGAATTCATACGTTAAATGAGCCTAAATTGTTGCAAAATTCATCATTAATCCAGCGACTATAAATAAACTTGCATTTCACTGAAATAGATTTTGCAGTAAATATGCAGAGTATTTAAATTGACCCGTTATAATGGAGCATCCTTATTTTCAATTTTCTATTTTCTGTTTTCTATTTTCTATTTTCTATTTTTTTTTCTGTTTACTATTTTCTATTTTCTATGACTTTTGATGTATGTTAGATTAATCTAGTTGAATAAACGTACGAAAAACATACTACGTACTAAAACAAATCATACCTCATTATCACATACCTATACGTTAGTAAAATCATCACTTTTCAAAAATGTACCAAAAATTTAAATTTAAATTCAAGTTATTATACCTAAATTATATAGGCATCCAGATAATCTCTTGTCCGTTCGATTGTTCTACCTATAACGTTCTATTATATCTGATTTCAATAGGCTTCAATAAATCGATTCAAAGCTGCCGCTGGAATGAAAACTCGGCCCTAATTGGAACGGCGATTCAAACCTTGCATTTATTGGAATGGTATTACGGACATTGCGATTATCTTTTATGCCATAACTTTTCTCCAATTAGAGGTTTGCAGCGTAATATTGGTCAGCTTGAATATTTATAAATCCATAAAGGAAACCACTATTCTAAAACATTTTAAAAGATCAATAGAGAAGTACTTATCAGTTGTGCTTTATCACTTTGTAATTTTTCATTTTCGATGTTTGACAAAACAATCATGACAATCGTCAGAGCTTTGCAGTTAATAGACTTGCGGTAAAATTAAGAATATAGAAAGTTTTCTTAACTTAATTATTTTACTAGACTGTGCCATAAAACAGTTGGTATTGCCAACAATTCAATGTTTTTGTTAGTATTTTTTGCTTGCAAAAGAACGGAAGGACTTCAATCTTTTAAAAATGCAAAAAATACGTAGATATTTTGAGATATTTGATTTTTCATTATTACAGTTTCACTTTTTACCACAAATCAAACATTTTAATTACTATACATTATGCTTTTACTTATGCTCGGAGTTAAATTTTTTCCTAATTTAAACAACAGGCTGTAATGCTCGTCAATCATGACGTCACGATAGAAGACGGCAATGACGTAATTAAGGTTTTTTTTTGTTTTCCATGAAAAGATTAAAACAAGCAGCTGATCACAAACGGTAAACATTACGTCATTGCCGTCTTCTATCCTGACGTCATGCTAGACGAGCATTACGGCCTGTTTTTTTTAGTGTGGCCTTGTTTAAACCACCCAAAGTTATCTATAGATGATTTTGCCTTAAGACTTTCCCGTCTCTGTTATAGTTGGCTAACGTTCCAGTTTGTATAGAAAAACTTTGGATTGACGTAAGTCAAAACTTGTCTGATCTGATAAGAGCCGCCTTGAGTTACACTTCTCTATTGTGAACTTGCTCAAGCTCTGCCAAGAATGTTAATGCGCCTTCTGCTATTGCCAGCGGCCATTTGTATGTCCTAATAACGAAGGAGTTATTAGTTTAGTTTGGTATGTTTTTCTTGCAGTAAGTGAGATTAAAAAAGAATTTGTGATAAATAAGTAGTAATCATAAATATTATATAAGTAAATACCCCCGCCGCAGCAAACCTGCCGACTAAGCGAATTTCCATTTGTCTGAATTGATTTTCAGTGAAATATATTTTAATAACATTAGGTTTAACGAGTACCTAGGTTTGCTGCTACAAGGAAACTAATAAAGTGTGTTTTTGAGTAAAATATTGATAGCTTAGTACAAAATAAATAAATTTGCCAAGTTTGATCAAAATATACCCATAAACAAGCAAACTACAACATATGACAATATTCTCCATAAGAATAACATGGGAATTTTAAATTTACAATTTTTTTAATTTTCTCCGTTACTAATAATCGAACAAAAATACTTTTATATACTAAATTATTTGTTTTTTTAAGCTCTTTAAAAGGGTCTAAAGAGAAATCGGTAAATTTTGTGTTTTGAGGGTCAAAAGTGAGAAAACCCAATTTTTACCCCATAAAACCCCCCGTAAAGCCCCGTTCCCATGGTCCGATCGCGCTGGTTCGCGAACTCATCCAAGTTTATCCCGCTTTACACCTTTAAACCAAATTTCATCAAAATCGGACAAAAATTACTCAAGTTATCGCGTTCACGGACGTATATGTATATAAGTCTATATATATATATACTGTATATATATATATACAGGGTGTCACAAAAAAGTGTGATGGGCTATACAGGACCTAATTCTACATGCAAAAATAAGTAAAAAATGAAGAATAAAATTTTTTGGATTTCGGCTTAGTTTAGCCGTAATCCGCCATTTTGTTTTTTGGGGAAAATATTTATTATTTCAAAATCCCTTTGAGATATTTTTACGAAACTTGGCAAAATTGTTTACACTATAGTAAGTAACATTTATAAAAAAAATTATTATTTTAACTTTCCAAATTTAAAAATGGCGGCCGTTTGAATTTTTTAATGCCAAATTTCATGAAAACCGGTACCTAAATCAAAATTTTGTAAGACACAAAAGTTTTAGTATTTATTATGACAAATCCAACAAAACAAAAATGAATAAAATCGGTTCATAAATAAAGAAGCTGTGTTTATTTTAGTAATTTAGACTGAAATTACTTAACACGTTACATAAATTATTACATTACATGAGGCAGTGAGATGCAAAGGGGTGTAAGTGACAAAAACTAAAATCAGCCTTAACCAGTGCTAAATGATAGGTGAAACACTGTTTTATTTGGTGGCAAAGAGATGTTAGTATCAGCTCCGTCATGTGCTGCTACCTAGTAGTGAATAGAAGAACTACTAACCGAATGCTTCATTTTGTTTGACAGCAGAGGGGGTTAGGTGCACTTACACCCTTTTGCCACTAATCAAAATGCTTTAGAGGTGTGTTGCTTATTGTCACATGAGTCTGTTTGGTAAGCTACTTGTTTGATATATTTCAAGAAGATTTGTTTAAGAAAACTGAAAAGTTTATCCCTATAAAAGGAAGGTTATGGATTCCTCTCCTAACAGCGATAGCTCAGGTAAGAATTATTAATCATTGTTTTTAAATATTTAGTGCAAAAGGCTAAAACATTTCAACATAACCATAAAATACCAAGCTGTTTCTTGAGCCCTAGGCTTAGGCCACAGTATAACACAATGCTGTTTTTAACAAATTCAACGCTAGTTACAGCTCATTTTTATCTGAAGTCCTTTTTTATACATTTAAACATAGGCCTAACCCTTAATTTTGTTTGGCAAAAACTGAAGATTTTTTCTATATATGATGCTAAAAAGTGTGTCTTATTCTTTTTGCAAACCGATTTAACATAGTAGCCTAGTACCCTTAGATGTATTATTATTATAAAGTATGATGTATGACTATGTTAATTTAATTTTTTATTTTTGTAGATCCTGCTGATGATACAGACGCAGACAGAGACTTTGTGGCCGAAAATATTGCATCAGAAACGTCATCGTCAACTGAAGAAGAAGCTGATGAAGGGGGTAGATTAAAATGCAAAAGAACGAGAAAGTTGGTAAGGTGTGAAGAAAAGTGGAAACGGAAAAGAGCCAAAATACTGCGGGATTCTGGTAAGGAGTATATAGGTTCTAAGGGAATTAGACAGGAAGCTAAATCAGTAAAGGAATACAACCATAACTGCAGATATCACTGTAAAGATATTACAGAAGAAGATCGGCATACAGTTTTTAAAGATTATTGGGCCTTATCATCTTGGGATCTACAAACATCTTTTATAAATGGTTGCTTGAAAACCAATACCCCTAAAAGGCATAAAACAAATACTAACAATCATAAACAAGTAAGTATTTGTGTACAGTTGCTTGGTAAAAGAGTCTGTAAGCAATTTTTCATAAAAACTCTTGACATTTATGTTAAAAGGTATGACAATGTGGTTAAGCGTAGGCTTATGACAAATACTGGTATCTCGCCTAAAG